CAAGTTTCTGGGCTCTCTGTGTAGCCACACGGGAGCCATGACCTCAGTTTGGGCTCCTGGATGGGCCAGTAGCCCTGGCTGTCAGCAGGGCTGGTGCAGTATTAATTACCACTCATCGCTGCTGCTCTCTAAAGTGAGTGCCCAGCGCATTAGCATCATTATGGGTGGGGAAACCGAGGTATATCAAGGGCAGTCAGGACTAAAACTGGCATTGTCAGACTGTCAGGATTCACTGCTGATTCCGGAGCAGGAAAGCGATCCTGTCCCTGGCTGTCCTCCAGCCCCGCTGCCCTGGGGACACAGTGACACAGCCACCTTACGCCTGGCATTCCCTCTGCAGGTCCCAGCCTTGCCCTGGACATGGGCTCAGGGGGACAAGCACCATTTTACGGAGCAGAAGCTCTTGCAGAGACAGCAGCACCTCCGAGGTGTCCCAGGCAGGTGCCTCCTCACTGGACCTCATCCCACGGGGCTTGCACGGCCGCCCAAGCCCAGCCACATTCCTGGCCACGGCAGCAGGGCTCAGCACAGCCCCGCTGCGGGGCAATAGGCGTGAGGACACAGACAGAGCCATGCCAGGGCGGCCAGGGTTAGTGCCGAGTTTCAGTCAGGGCCCTGAGCAGATACAGGATCTGCCCTGTCCCTGCCTGGGGAAGGGTGAGGCCACGGGTTTGTGGGAAAATGTTGTTTTTCCCTCCCCTGGACTGCCCCTAGCAGTCGGCTGGGCCGGCTCTGAATTGCGTGGGCTGGGGAAGTGGAGGGGAGTTAACAATTGTAGTGCCTCTGGCTTGGAGCGGAGCCACGGCAAACAATCCTCTCCTGGCCACGGGCCAGATCTGACAAAACATGGAGGTGATATCGTATTCGTACCTACGCACTTTCGTCCCGAATCACCTCCTGAAAGCCCGGCGTGATTCTCCCATCTGTGATGAATCCCTCTTAGCTTAGCCACAGAACAAGACAGCCCGTCCGCAGTGCGGCGGCCAGGAATCCCGTCCAGCATCCCTGCGAGGCCTCTGCTTTTGAAATTACAGCTGTGGGTCTGGCAGCCAGTGGTGGGACCTGAGGTTAGGAGGTGATGTTGACTGAAGACGTGCGGACAGGGCATTCCAGGCATGCACGGGGTTAAATCAGAGGTGTCAGTTCACCGGGAGGTAACTGATATGTCCTGCTCCTGCTGCCTCTGGCTTTCCAGAAGCATGGTGTCCCTCCCTCCCACATTCCAGCTGCTGCAGCTTTTCACAGCTGGCTGCTCTCCGGGGACATTTCCCAGAGCTGAGCAAGAGGGAGGGGAGGGAGCAGCTGTGGTCCCACCACAGGATGGGGGGGTTGGTGGCTGAGCTGACCGGTCACCCCCCCCTCCAGGGAACCTGGGGCTGGAGCCCTTCACCCCCAGGAGCAGGCTGGCACCCGGAGCTGGGCAATCCCAGGTCCCCTGCCAGGGATCCACCCTCAGCCCTGGCCCAGAGAGTTTTTCCTGTTGCAGAGAAGGGACATCAATCTTTGCAGCTCACTTATTCCTTGGCCTCCGAAGCAGGGTAGCCAATTAGTGCTGGGTGTGATGGATGGCTCTGCCCCATCCTCGTGACACCCATCCTCTGGAAAGGGCTCCCACCACGCAGAGGCACAGCCAGCCCTAGTGGGAGAAGGCTCTCGCCAGCCTCCAGCGTCCCAGGGGGTGTCACAGGGGCCCTGGGGACAGGGACAGGCACTGCAGCAATGCCTGCTGAGTTCCCAGAGACTGTGCAGGAGAGGAACCAGACCTTGACACTGGGCCAGGGTCGATAATTCAGGGCTTGGGGAGAGATTTCCTCTAATAATTGCCTGGCTCAGCTGCAGCAAAGCCCATGGCTCCCTGGGGAAGAGCCGATGGGCTCTGGGCAGCAGTTGTCACCCACTGTGGCTCTGTGCTTGGGGCCAGGCTTTGCCACCCCAAGAAGGCATCCCATGGGAATAGCCTGAACGGACACCAGGTGGGAGACAGGTGGCAGAAACCCCATTTCTGTACTTAGACCCCATCTCCCCTTCCCCAGCACCACCCCTGGTCCATAGCAGAGGGGGCTCTGCCCACTCTCTCCCATGGGACGTGGGTGATGCTCACTGAGACCTGGCTTCCCCGGCATGCAGCTGAGCCCCTTTAATCCACCCCTGGTGTCCCCGTGGAACCAACTCCAGCTGCTCATCCCGGGGAGGTTCAGATGGCCCTGGCAATCCCCCAGGGCTCGCTGGGGGCGATTATAAATGACTCTCCAGGAGCCCAGGCTGGAAAATGGATCCAATTACAGGAGAAGTGGGTTTCGGGGGGCCCCCGCTCTGTTCATAATGAAGTGTAATCCTAGAAAAACATGTTGCCAATTACACTTCAATTGAACCCAGATAATGATGCTTAGACAAGGCCCAGAAAAGACGGAGTCTGGACAGTGAATTCCTTTCTAATGGAGAAGAAAAGTGTTCCTCCATGGCAGGTCTGGGCTCCGCTTGGTTCAGGCTCATTGTGATAGGAGCAAGAGCCTGAAATAACCGATCTCTGGATCCCCTTTAAATGGTTTTATCAGTGGAAAGAGTATTAATCTCTCAAAAACACATGTTTATGGGGAGTTTAGTTTGGAGATGTATGTCTTTTAAACTGGAATCACTTTGGAAAGGCAGGAGGAGTGGGTCTCAAAATTGCAAAAATAACACATTTCTAATTCTTCTGCTTCACAGTAACTTTTCATTTTGAAATGCAAGCTAATAACAGCTCGGTTTCTTGACCAGTTTTTATAGTGAAAATTAAAACAAAACATGGAAATTATGGAAACAAAGTGCTATAACTTAAAGCAAATGTTTCATTCTCATTTTCGGGTTGGGGGGGTTTACAAATGCTTCTGAGACGTCACTTTTCCACCCCAGCACGGGGACGGCTGGTTGGGGTCTCTCTTGTTTGGTTCGGGAGGGAGGACAGTGTGGTTGGGGTCTCAAAAACTGCTCGGGGGGGGAGCTGCCTGTGGCCGTGTGGGTGCAGGGGCAAGCAGGAGCTGAGGTCTGGCTTTTCAGGAGCTGTGTGCAAGGTGCTGGGGGATTGCAGAGGTCCCCGTGGTTTGGGGGGTTTGCGGTGTGGGGGTGAGCTGGCAGAGATGGCTGAGGCAGACAGGGAGCACCCGACCGTGCTGCTGGGAGGCGGGTGGCTTGGCTGGCCCGAGCGGCGACAGGCTGTTAGCGCCGCCACGGTCTTTTGCAAAAAGGCTTTGGGAAACCCACGTGTTGCCAGATCTCAGTGCTGATTATTTTTGTCAAAATAAAAGGCATTATTTTTGTACTGTGAACCTCCACTTCAGCTCGCTCCCTCCTCCCTTCTCTTTCTCTCCCACACGCACATGTTTTTTTGGGGTTTTTTTCCTGCCTTTGGGGGATTTTAGCAGCGCAGGGCTCCGAAAAACAGACTCCTACCTCCTTCCTGCAAGCTCAGGGAAAGCAAGATGCTGTCTAAATCCCGGGCTGCAGGTCAAAGTTTCCAGCATTGTGAGAATGAGAGAAGAAAACAACAATTCCATCCTAGTGCCATAAAACCTAAAGTTGGGCTTTGGTCGGTTTGTTTTACAGGGTAGGTCTGAAATGCCCTGGCAGTGCCATGAGCTGGCACTTGAAGATGCTCCAAGGCTGTGGGAGGGTGGCAGGGGGGCCCGAGCTCCCAGCCAGACCGGGGTGCCGAACCCATCCTGGTGCCACTGCTGCCATCCCGGCCCTCGGCTGCGGCCAGTGATTAATCCCAGGAGAGGGCCCTTTGAGCGCCGTCCTCAAACAGCACCCGCGCTTCAAAATAAGCTGGTTTCCATCTGAACCATAAAGTCTCCAAAAATGCCTGCGCCGCGCGGAGCCGGGCAGACATGTGTGTGCGTGTGGGGCTGGATGTTGATTTTTCCTTGAAACAACTCAAGGCTTTATCAGTCCCATCTCTTTCCCACGGTTTTCTGTTGCCAGTGAGGTCACTGGTCCCTTTAAACTGGGGCTGAGGCCAATGTGCGGCGGGTGGAAGGGGGGCCGTGGGGAGAAAGCG